TTAACTGCTTAATACATGGAGCATGTTTTCCTCAGGACTTCGCCCATGCACGGCAGCTTTTCTCAGCCTGTCTGGAGCTCGTCACAGAGTTTTCCCCAAAGCTGAGGCAGGTGATGCTGAATGAGATCTTGCTGCTGGAGGTCCGCGCACACGAGGCGATGGCGGCCGAGGGGAGCAAGGAGCGGCCGCCCCCTGACTTGGTCAGCAGGGTCAGAGGTTACCTAGAGATGAGGATTCATGGTGAGTGAACAGCAGCGAGTGGAGTCACTCCAGTGTCAGCATCTTCAGGTTAAGTCTGTGATGGGAGAAAATCATTGTGGATCAGGCTTCATATACTACTATAAAATCTATTTCTAGGGCCCCAGTAAACAAATGTTCTAAACTAATGTCACTTACAAGAAGTTACAGATCTGGTCTTGCAGCTAGAAACATTTGTTTAAAAAAAAAAAAAGGCACTATTAGGATACTTCTGCAAGAGTAGCATGTATCTCACTGTAAAAATAGACGTATGTCTGCTATCCATAAAAACTTCAGTTACCGATAAAGCAGAATAAACAGCTTCTAGGCCTTGTTATATAGCACCAATTCTGGAGGTGCAGTGAAGGATTTCCTGGTCTTTGTTTCCAGATCTGCCTCTACGTCAGGTGGTGGGAGAGGAGTGTGTCGCCTTCATGTTGAACTGGAGGGAGAACGACTACCTGACTCTGCAGGTGTCGCCGTCTCTGGTCATGAACAACCCGTACATCAAGGTAACACGTCTGTGTGCTTCTTTTTTTAACACTTTCATGAAATTTTCTCTTTCTAGCAGCTCCAGTGATGCTATTTCTGATATTCACCAACATGAAATTATAGCAAAGTTATCGACACAGTAGCTGACTGTCTGTAAGGTTTAAGGCTATTTAAATCCCAGCTGAGGCAGCTGAGACACTCTTCTGCAACTCAGAAGTCACAGCTCTATAAGAAAACTAAAAATCTTGAGTGATTACATAATGAACTAATTAATAAGTTGGTTTAAATTCATTTAAAAATAAGTTGTGGTACCAGATCCACTTAAAAATTTTCCACCAAGACACATGAAAGTCTGAGAGAGTGTATTCTCTCTCAGGATTGATTTGGTTATATTTAGGTACTGTGGGATTTCCAATAAATTACAATGCGACGTCTCGAGAACAAGGTGATGTAGGATTTTGAAACAGATACCATAGGTGTGTCTAGCGGTCGCCAGTATTTTTGCATTTTTCTTTATTAAATTTGTCCTGTTTTGTCCCGATAGCTTGGTCAGCTCCTGGCATCCACGTGTAAGGAGCTTCCAGGTCCTAAAGAAAGTCGGCGCACCGCCAAGGAGCTCTGGGATGTGGTGGTTCAGATCTGCAGCATCTCCATCCAACACAAGAGGAACAGCGACGGCCGAATTGGCCTCATTAAACAGAGAGAGTCCTCCATGGGCATCTTGCACAGGTATGATGTCATTTTAGGATTTAGAAACATTACAACATGTCTGAGATTCATGTAGCGTCACACTCATTCTGTTTTCTTAATGTGACTCCTCCAGGAGCAAATTCATCACTTTCACCAAGAAAATTAGAGTAAGTATCACCACATACCAACTTAAACACACTGTGGAAGAATAAATTAGCTGTTTACCTTGTGATTTGTCTTATTCTTACAGGAGCCACTGGTGCTGACGACTCTGATCTCACTGTTTGTGAGACTCCACAGTATAGTCAGGGTATGACTCTGAATTCATAAATAGAACACAGTAAAATGGAAAAATTGAGGGATTTCAGTGCTGCTGTAGTTTCTGTCTGCATCTTCAGCCCCTTGTTTTTTCTTCTTCTTCTTTAGGATGACATTGTAAATGAAGTTACTGCAGAACATCTCTCCATCTGGCCATCTTCTCTTCCAAAGTAGGAACGACTTTTCTATTTTACCTCATCTGTTTGTTTTAGCTGCACCAACTGTTTCTGCTACACTGCACTGGTCGGACTTAGTTACAGGACCGACACACAGGGATCTCTTTTCCTGTCCTCAACTCCTACAAGCTGAGAGAAATCTTTTAAAGCTTGTTTGAGCTACTGAAAAAATAAGAAATAAGAATTTTGAGTTGAGTGAATATGTGTGGTTTGGACTAGTTTGACTCCTGCACCCCTGCTTGTACATTGTCATTTTACTCTTTATTCATTGTGTTGATGCCTCTTCACACTAACAGCTTATAAGCAGAGGTTACTTTTCTTGTGAAAAAGTTACAGGAAGTACACTGTGCATGAAAAGCTGTCAGGTTATCTGCAGTTACAGATCTGTTTATTACGTTCTTAGTTCAGACTCTACTAGAGCAGCTTTGCATGACTCACAGTTCAGAATAATCCTTATTTGACTTGTACTGATGCTCCTCAGTTCATCCTCTGTGTGAACCAAGGTGTTTTCATTCCTTTGTCGTCAAGCCAACTTTCTTCTGATTGGCTAGCCTTCACAAACAGTTTGATATTAGGGGATATCATCTCTCTCTGACATCATAAACAATCAAAAGCAGCTGCACTATGACTGTAACTGTTAATATGAGAGGACATAAGGAAAAACATCCCCTTTAACAGCATGTACACAGCACGAAAAACTAAATGTTCCGATCTGTGTGTTGAGCAGCATACAGGCAGTGGATGTGGAAGCTGTGGCTGTGACAGTCAAGGAGTTGGTTTCCTATGCTCTCACTCTAAACCCCAATAACCAATCATGGCTTATCACACAAGCCGACATCTACTTTGGTAAGAACAATCACCACATCTCATCAACTCAGAGAACTTTCTTCACTGAATCAGTGAAATGTTGTCATTCCTTAGACAAAGGCTGACGTTTTTCCACCAATGTACTTGACGTTTGGACAGAAAGGAAAAATAAGATTGAAGTGACTTAAAAGAAATTTCACAGCAATTGCGAAACATTCCCTTAAGAAAGCATTTTCAGACACAGCCACCTGCAGCTTGAATAACAACTTTCATTTCTCCCTATGTAGTGACCAATCAGTACTCTGCAGCTCTGAACCTTTACCTGCAGGCTGGAGCTGTGTGCTCGGACTTCTTCACCAAAGCCGTCCCCCCCGACATCTACACTGACCAGGTAAAACACCGACTAATACCAGAGTGCACTACATAGTGAGCCTCTGCAGTTTGAGAGATATGAGAGCCGACTGACTCGCCTAACAGTAACACACCTGTTTTTATTTTAGGTTCTGAAGAGGATGATTAAATGCTGTTCAATGCTGAACTGCCACACACAGGTCAGAGGTCAAACTGCCTATTTGAGAAAGTGAACTAATGTTAGCTGCTGAGGAATTAATGAACATATTGTTGGATTGATGCAAGTGCCCACTTTGTTTTCCCCAGTATAATTTCATGAATAAAAGCTAGAAAGCTCCTCGTCCCTTCTTTGAACATTTAGCAGAACAAAATCAATATAACAGTATAATAATGATAGACCCTGATGAGAGAAAATATATCAGCTTTATTTGCTGATGAGAGTCAATAAGGCAAATCAACCAATACCATTGTTTGCCTCATTATTCCGTGCACCTCTGCTAAAGTATAAAGCCGACTGTAAGTGTCTCAGTGCTGACTGGTGTCTTACAGATGTAGCGAGTTGGAAGTAATGTGACATCTCTGATTCTCGTCAGGTTGCTGTTCTGTGCCAGTTTCTGAGAGAAGTCGACTACATGACAGCGTTCAAAGCGCTTCAGGAGCAGAACAGGTACGGCCCTGGAGGACACATTACATTACCCACAGAGCCATTCTTAATAACAGCTAGTATCCTCTCACATTACAGTCACGACGCCATGGACTCATTCTACGACTACATCTGGGACGTCACCATCCTGGAATATCTCACACGTATCCTTCATGTAACAATAATCACTGTTGGCTAAAACTTACTTTTTCTTTTCAAGGAATACATTCTCTCCAGTGTCTGTTTAGCTTCCTGATTTTTTTTGCTCAGATATTCACCACAAACGAGGAGAGACTGAGAAGAGACAAATAGCGGTAAGTCTTTATAACCCTACAGCTTATACCACGAAAGGCTGCGACCTGAAAAGCATCTCATACGTATAGATTTATGACTTCTTTTATGCAATAAAATCATAGAAGAATAATGCAGGAAGAGACCGGCAACAAAGTGACGACCAGCTAACGCTTGTCAATGACCACCCACATAAGCAGACTGGTTAATGTCTAATAAAAATAAAATACTTGTGAGGCATAAAAGGTCAAATTTAATCTGACATGCATTGTGAAACAAGAGTTACTGAGCAATGTTGAGCTTAAAGTTAGAGCTCAACTCTTTACCTGCCCAGATCTCTATGGTAACTTAAGCTGAATGTGCCACCTAGTCTGTAGCAGGTTATATTCAGAGTTATGGTTTTAAAATCTGGAAGCATCAATTTCACAGTATACAAGTGAAATATAATTATCTGCAATTAGAGCAGTGCAGCTCAGTCACATCCTCAGTGGACTTTGCATTCAGCTGGTGAAAGGTGTACAGAGGTTTTTAGAGTCCTAATCTGCTGCCACGTCTATTTTACACTGTTGGAACTGCAGCCGAATGAAACAGATTAGAAAGTTGATCTGTAACGTTTCAAGGAGGTTCATCAATTAATATTCAAATTTATATAAACTAAAGAGATTTCCACATGCTTTTATTAGGCTGTGGGAGAGAGACTTAAACACACTGAGTAACCTTAAACGTTCAGGTGTATGGACTGCAATAAAGAATTTATATAAAATGTTTGGAAGTGTAGAACCTGTAGGATTTTGTATATTTCAATAAGAATTCTCATAACAAAAACATAACCGATGTCTTCTCCCAACCCTTCAGATAAAAGCGATTGGACAGACAGAACTGAACACCAGTAATCCAGAGGAAGTGCTGCAGCTGGCTGCGCAGAAGAGGAAGAAGAGATTCCTGCAGGCGATGGCCAAACTGTACTTTTAGTAAACACACGAACCACTGTCAGATTTCACAGGGTGGGGATGAATATTTTATTTTGTGGTAACAAGTACATGGTAATTTGTATTATTTTCATCTTTTGCAATAAACTTATAAAATCAAAATGCCCTGAGTTAATCACATCAGGACCTGGTTCAGTTAATGCTTTGTTTGGGGTTTTTAAAAATTCACACTAGTACAGCATTCATTTTACTATACTTTGGCTGCTGGACAGCAGCACACAACATTTCTTCATTTAAAAAGAGGGAAAAAAAAAATGCATCCCACAATTTTCTAAAAATTCACCTTCAGGTTACAAACTTTTGAACTTTGCATTTTTCTGAAATAAAACCTTAAAAGCCAAAAATGAGGGAAAACAAAAAGTGGCTAGAAGAAGAGTGGCCTTCAAATATCAGTTAACAGTTTAGATCTCCTACATCGTCTTTTAAATGGATTGAATACGTCAAGAACTACTATTTGTGGTGAGGGGAAGATGCGGGGGTGGGTGGGGGTGACAACTATTCAACTCTAAACTAACAATAACTATTCTCACACTATGGCATACTAAGACTACGACACAATTTATTTTGATTCAGCATTCAACTCTGTCAGATCAGTCTGAGTTGGACGTTTGCAGCCATCTCTGCAGGAAATCTGAGGAAAGTTTCAGAACTGCAATCAGCACCTTCAGACTCTGTTAAACTTCATCTTCTGAAGACGTAAGTCCTTGCCCAGGTACGTAGATCCTCCCTCTGTACGAGGTGGCATCGAGCGGTTCCACATCATTTGTAGGAGAATTGCCTTTTATTGCCTTGTGAGCAACATCCTAAAAATTAACGGAAGCAATTTATCGACACTGTAAGGGTAACAACTTGGAATTCAAGTCTTTCATTTTTAGTCTTTTTTTTTTTTTAAATTAAAAATAACATTTCATTTTAAACAGAATAAATATGCCGGGGGGGGGGGGAAGAAACCTTTAGAGTTTCATTCCCTTCTGCAAAATAAGACTTCTACAAATGAGCAGTTTCACGTGTGTCAGCTGGGAAAAATAAGTTGTTCAAATGTTCACTTTATACCAAAACTAAATATATTTTCTTAAAATCAAAGAAATGCTTTTACGTGAAATTGTGCATTCAGGGTTTCATTCTGCAATACAGAAACATGGTCCAGGGTTTGTTTGTTGTTGTTTTTTTATGGCTAATGTCAAAAGCTCTGCCATCTCCCCCAATGAAGTTTAAGAATGGCAAAGGAGTGACGACATCATTCAATAACTAAAAGGCTGCAGAATTATGGGTTCATACTAGCACAGTACTGTAAACGAGTGATCCATTTGAATTTCCGTCCACAGAAGTGGGCAACCAAATAGAATGATAGGCAACACTACTCACACAGATTCAAGTCAACCTCATCATTTCAAATTCCTCAGCATTGGCAGAGGTATGGTGTCTCATACCACTGCTCTTAGCTTTGACTTTGCATTCTTGTTTCTGGAACGGTTGTAAAAAACTGACAGCGTGTCAAACAAGAAGGCAAAGCAGTATGAATGTCATACTGCAGATCAAGGTTTTCGAAATACTCAGACCAGCCCACCTGGCATCAAACACGTCATGATCAAAGTCACTTAAAATAAAGCTTCTTCCTTATTCTGATGCTCAGTTCCAACTTCAGTAGGTCCTCTTGACCATGTCTAAATGCACAGAGTTTCTGCCATGTGATTGACCAATTGTACAAGGTTGACCACCAGTCAAGCAGATGTACCTACTGAAGTGGTCAGCGAATATAGATCATGTGTCAGAAGAGGAGTTATCCAATGCCAGTCCCTTTATTTATAGCTCTTAGTATGCCAGATGCAACACAGGTTGCCGCCATCACAAACTGCATTAAACCAGCTTCCATCTGTAAGCTCTATATAGCTTCTACAAACATTTCAAGTCTTAGGAGTTTGCTTTTGTATGGGTAAACAATCATTTTCCCGACTGCATTTTCTAGTCTGACTTCAACCTTAAATTATAAGGAAGACCACAGAGGGGGAAGAGAGAAAAAGAAAAAAGAAAAAAAAAAAAGACACTAACCAAAATGGACATGTAGTCCAAGTTTGCCTGGATGTTGTATTGGTCTTCTCTTCTTACTGTGGGAAACACTTTCTGTGTGACTGTGCCAAAGTCTTCCAGTGCATCCATAAAGGGGGCCAGCCAGTCAACACATGGCTGGAGGTGTTCTCTGGGCAGACCTAAACAGAGAAACCAAACATACAGACTGAATAACCTGACATGTTCAAGAGTTGAGCCTTCTCATTTTAAACATTAACTTCGTTCTTCCTGTGTGTCAGGTGTAACACGTTTTCCCACATTTTTTAGTTATTTTACTTCTGTTTTTTAAGTCTCCAACTCTTACATGCAACTTTTTCTACCAGTCCCTGGTCCACGAAATAACACAGGACTGAGGCAGCCAATCCGTGATAAGGTATGTCCATCGAGTTCACGTCAAGGATGCACAGATCTAAAAGCTAAAACAAAAACACCTTGAGCAACTACACACAAGGTTAGCAAGGATATTTCACTTCTCTTGCAATACAGTCTTATTTGTAGATGTATTATAGAACTGTTGACTTAAATATAAGTGAACTCAAACACCTACATTTGCACTTCTCATGTAAGTATCTTTTGGAAACGGCTGCTCAAGCAGGTTTGCTTTTTCTTTCCTGAAGATCACCTGCAGGAGGAACTTCAGCCAGGTCAAAGCCGTTTCCGGACGAGTGTACCAGCGCAATGTCTGCAGAGCATACAAAAGCATATGGATTTATAAAATGCACAATGGAACAGGTGCATATGATGAATAGTGAGTTAAAAGTATTACCCTCAAAATGACCAACTCCATATGACGGAATTCTTCTACATGGTAGATCCCATGAGCCACACGTGACAGATGCAAGATCTTTAAAGGTTTAGATTCCTATAAAATAAATAAAACACCTTTAATCAACCAGGGGTTAAAGTGGGCAGGAACACCTTTCTAGTACCTTTAAATCAACCCAGTTAGTAGTTTCACACAAAGTCAAGCAAGTCAAATTTCAATCCTACATTTAAAATTTTTAATCTGATGTTACCCTTTCCTTTCACTCTGCTGTATTTGACAGCAGGCTATGGCTAATGGGTGGAAAGAAGCCACATACGTATGAAGAATGCAGTCGAAGCGCAGTAAAGCCGAATTACAACAACAGTTCAGGTCTGCCACGCACAAGCAAGAGAGTCACCACTGGTTCCCACTTAAATGCACTTTGTGACACTTTAATCCCTGTTCGCACCATCAAGAAACCCACAGTGCAAATAAAAACATTGGAATAAGTAATAAGAATTTGTATTTTAGATTTAACACAAAAAGAAAAAAAAGAAAAGAAACTACTAAACAGTAATTTTACCTCCATCTTTGATGCTATAAGAAGACATGTGAGCACAATGAGCTGCAGCACACCCAACTTAAGATTTCTCTCAACCAACAGAAAACGGTCAAAGTAGTCCTGTGCCAGGTAGAAAGTCTCCCTGTGAACAGCGTATGCCTCACACACCTGCAGGAACAATCATGAAAGTCCTATTAATGTGTCATTTAGATGAGACAGCTAATCTACACATTCTAATTTGGATTGAGTTGCACTACTCACGACTGTATTCCAAGTAAATCATTTTTAGCTACAAACACTAAAAATAACATTCAATGCTGCTTTGATATTACTGAAAATTCTAATTTCAAAACAACAACAACAACAACAACCTTCATTAACCAGTAGAGGATGATCGATCTCATTCTGGGTGTTAACAGGGGCTGCCTCTCCCTGAAGCTCACGCTGCTGCGTCTGATGTTCCTCGGCGTGCCGATCATCTTCACCCACTCCTCATCGGAAGACTCACATCTGTAATATACAGTCAATTAAAGTTACAGCAGTAAGTGAAGAGAAAATGTAAATCCTTTAAAGGTTAATGGGGGGGGGAAAAAAAAAAAGCATAAAGTTCTTTTGAAGTTCTTTAACGTTACCTCGCACGGTCAAGCAGCAACCTCTGGAGGCTGCCAGTGCTACCCATCAGCCCACTAGTAGATACACCTAAGGTATCCGTTTGAAAATCCTATGCCAAAACCCTGTTCTAGTTATTGCATTCACAAACTACCCGCCTGGCAAGGTGATGCAAGCAATGTATCCATCAAGTTCCCAGTACTCCAAGTCCTTGGAATTTTCCAATTACCATCCCTAGTGACCAAAGCACACCATCAGCCTTTTATAGCTGAGGGGTAATAAAACTGCAATTTTGTTAAAATGTTATATTTTACAGAATATAAAAAACAAACAAAATCATCTTTACAGTGTAGTTTTATCAACTTGATAATGGAGTTAGCTTTGATGTGTGCTTAGACAGGCACTTTGAGCTGCCTGTCTTCTGCCAACGACTCATCACTGGTTTCAATGGAATTATCTGAATAATAAAAGTTTCCATGGATTATTTTGTCATGTTTAAAAATAACTAATCAGTCTAACAGAAAAGCATCAACAGCAGAAGATGTCAGGATAAGAAAAAAAAGAAAATACCCAAGGTAAGGGTGCAGCGAGAACAGCCGGCTTGAGGCAACTAAGGGAATCGATGCTGGCTGGACTGCATCCTGGAGAGGTGACCTCGGAGTGATCTTAATAAGCTTTCTGAGCTGAAATTAAAAAGAAAATCCACTCACATTTTATCAATGATCTGCCATTTGTTGACTCGTACTTCAAGAAGGTGACATACCCTTTGATGCAGTGTGTTCTCACTTTTTCTGTACTGCAGGATTAAAAAACAAAGTTATAAACTGTACAGAAGTGGCTGTAGAGAACCGTTTTATGCGACTTAAAGTCACAACCATGCTTTCAAATGATTTGTCTCTTACTTTTCGTCCCAGCCATGAAGTCTCCCTCTCTCTTCTCTTTAGGCGACGACTGCAAAGACACAAAACTGAACTCCGTACAGTCCGACAGTCCAATCACACCTCAAAATACAATAATAAAGCAAATCCTCAAAAGTAGTCATACCGTCGTGCCATGGATTCTTCCAGTGTCATCTGAAGAAGAGATTAAAAAATGTCAGTGTCAATGGCAAACAAGGTAGTTGACCTTCAGAGGTAAAATGGCAGATATTGTCCACAAGAGGCTGCACCTGCCTTACACTACAGAACAATGCTTTTATTTTTTGAAGTTAAATAAAGCGGCAGGCCTAAATAAAATGAGGTGGGGGGGAAAAAAAAAAAAAAAAAAAAAAAAAATATCCAGCAAAAACCTGACAGATGCAGCTTTACTTTTAGCTGATCCATAGAGTTAACATCAGTGGCAACAGTGCATCTACAGCCATCCTTAAAACTCCATCATGGCTTGGGGCTGAATTTCAGACTTTGGTGTTTGGGATCTTGGCAAAATTAAAGGAATCAGATTTTTATCCACCGTTCAATATCATATGCAAGTCGAATGACTTTCCAGAATGACAGTGATCGGAAAACATCTTGATAGAGAAGAGAACAAAAAGACGCTGGCATCCAAAGAAGCGCTTTGAATGTTCTTCAGGAAGCCTGCAGAACTATCCCTGAAGACTACTTGAAGAACTTAAAATAAAACTTGCTCAAGTGAATTCAGGCTGTCTTGAAGAATGAAGACTTCCAAGTATTAACTTTCAAACTGGCCAGAAGTGTTTTCCTTGTACATACACTGTATTACCATGCATATTTGCAAAACATTGTTAAAAAAATATAAAGAAATGAGGGGGGCTTAAGGGTTTTACACAGGATAATTGACCAGGTGCTTTGAATTGAACCCTAAACCACACTCTATCCCATGTTCAGGTGTTAATTTATCTGTTGTGCTTCATGACATTAATCCAATCAGTGTGCAATTCATCGAAAGCTGCCATTTAAAATTCAAGGATGCAAACTTTGCTCACTTGTTTTTAAACGTCACTCAACCAAAGTGAGCTTTGTGGGTCGACAAGCAAGGGTGAGAATAGCCAAATCACCTGCTTAAAAAAAAAGTTAAATAAAAATAACAATAACGAGTTACTTTAAGTATGTCCTTTGGCTCTACCGCGGCGTGCGAAGGCTACAGAAACGAGTGAGCGGTGTAAGTGAACCGCAGAGAGCGGAACTACTTTTACCCTTTAAAGTGACAGCTGCAAACTTACCGTCGTCTCGTCACTTGCCTCTGATGCCATTGCGCGTACGTTTACGACACGTGTATGTTGCGCATGCCTATAAATACTCCCAATCGGAGCAATCATGTTTTTTAATTAAAACATTTAAAACAAAGTTGACTACTTGCAACTGTTTACCTTACGTTTAAATTCACACTGCTTTGGCGTCAAACGCCTAACCACTGGAAGGAGAATAAACTACTGAATAAAATAATAAAATAAAATATATAAAGCATTACGATATAAGTGAGAATTTTTCTGCATTACAGTTAAACACAGTTCAGACTTTACTGTTTCAGAAAAACGTGAAAAAAAAACCCCGCCAGCATCAAACTGGTTTCTTTTCTCTTTTTTTATGAGTTAAATGTATGTATGGCGGTGGGTGGAGCTACATATCAGAACAGCCAATAGGAGAAAGAGTTGAGTTGAGCGCGTGCTCCTGTAGGGGGGATGTAAACATTTTTTTTCTTCAAAACTTTATTAACGCCACAGCATTAAGTATATGGTAAGTAAAAGTTAACTAAAAGGGGGTCAAGTAAGTCAGAAAACATTACATTAATACATTCAACAATAGCGGTGTTGGCCGTCTGATTGGGATCTGGGATGAGGGGCCTCCTTGCTGCTGCGGAGCCTTGGACGACCGCTTGCCTCCACCCCGGGGGAAAGGGTAACATCTCCTGGGTCTAGGTGCTGCTTCTCCCTCCAGGGGCGAGGGAACCTGGACCTGGGGTATAGAGTTTGTTTGGGGAGTGTGATTGTGTGTACAGTGTATGTCTATCCCTACGTTGGGTGAGTGCTGAGTATTTGTATATGTGTGCATGAGGGTGGGAATGCATGTTTGTGTTTATATGTCAGGTCGGATCTTACACTCCACCTCTCTGGGAACTCCCAGGCCCTCCAAAGGCCTATCTCCCCTCACCACACTCCCTGCCGGTAACTGATGCCCTTAGGGGTCAGTGCGCTGGTGGTTCTTGGTGTCCGGGGCTGGGCGCTCAGGTATGTACCAGCTCACTCCCGGTGACTACTTGGCGGGGCCTGGTGCCTGTTGCTCGGTCAGGCCTCTTCCGGGGCAAAGGGGGCCCTCGGGCCTCCGGCCTCTCGGCCTGCGCCTTGGTTCACTCTGGCACAGCTGGCTGCCGGCAGAGCCGGCGGGCACGCCACTGCAGCCCCCTCTGGCTTCTGTTCCGTGGCTACTGGGTGACCCCTCATCTGGGGCTCTCCTCAGCTCTTCCCAGGAGGGTGGCACGGATGCCCCTCCGGTGGTCCTCCTTGGGCTCTCGCACTCTGGGGCCTCTGGATGTCTGGAGCCTGGATCTCCTCCATGCCTGCTTCATGCCTTGGGGGAGGGGGCTGTGGCTCTCTACATCCTCTAGCAGACCATTACATGGGGAAACCTTTTGAATACAAGCGCGCTGATCCGCACAGGTGTGCACACGGGTGTCCACTGTTCATAGACATAAACTATACCTTTATTGGCTGCTATTTCCAAGCACAATGTGCGCTGTCGGTCCTGCGTGCTACACAACAACATTCAACATTTCGTATTTACTGCTGTTTACACTTAGCTAGATTAATGTGATGGTGTTGTGTTTAGTATGTTGCTCTGTTTTTTTTGTTGCTTGTTTTCTCTTCTTTTTCTCTCAACAGGTGATCCAGGAGATTTTTTTTCTTTTTTCCTCTTCTTTCTCTTTTTAAGTACCCTTTCTCACGGTCCCTCTTCCCTTCTGTTTTTCTTTTCCTTCATCTTTCTTTCTCCCTTTCCTATCCCTCAGTCATGTCTGTCCCGTCTGTAACAACTGAAAATATAATAAAATAAATAATAACAACAAAGGATCAAATTCGCAGATACGGCAAGGCCATGATGATTAATTTAGCAAAGTAAATCCACTGGGTATCCTTGTTGGTCTTCAGACAACAATTCTGACGGCTAAAGAACCAAATGGGACAGGCAAAAAAACCCCACCAACAACAACAACAAAAAAAACAACACTGCTAGAAAGTATCACATGCACTTACGGGAGGCTGCATTTCGTTGCCCTGTACCTGTGCATGTGCAATGACAATAAAGTTGAATTCTATTCTATTCTATTCTATTCTATTCTATTCATTAGGTAGAGTTTATTTGTTCGCCTTAAGTTTTCAAGACTTCGATTTTACAAGGTGCTGGAAACATTTCACAGAGATTTGGGTAGGCTGTGTTAAACACATCATTTGGGGTCCAAGTCTGCCATGAAAAAAAATCCACCACACCATTACACCAACCGTACTACATTGAACTGAATTATGTTGTTTTCATCCAACATATAAAACTAAACTTAACTGCAGAAACATGCAAATATAAATATATTTATTTTCTGTCGAGAGAAAATTCATACATCATAGACGTATTACTAAGAAATCACTGACATGTTTACATGTTTAACACAGAAAGGTCCAGCTCTCTTCCTGCTCTTAAGCCTTGTAAAACGCACAGAACTGCGATCTCTGCATTAAACTGTTAAATTAATTACCGTTATTATAGGAAACGAACCCACGAATTTCCTCAATACCTACAATAAAAAAGAAAAAAACCCAATTAGAGTCCATCCATCTATTCAAACAATTAAAAATGTAAAATAACAATAAAAATATTTTCAAAATAAATATTAGATATACATATATATACACATATATATAATCTGACAAAAGTTTGTACAGCTGTTTGTACAAAAGCTGAAGTACCACAAAGGCTTCACTTCCCTCTGCGAAGCAGCAACTAGGAAGTTTTGCAGGGTACCACCACGGGATCAACAGAGGAAACCACATTGACAGACTTACTCTATTTGAGCTAGACGTCTGAGTAGCTCCGGGGTTCGACTTTGAGCTGTACAGTGTAGAAGGTATTTCTCTCTCTCTCTCTCAACAGAATGAAGCTGCTGAAATTCATCTTAATCATCCACGTGAACTTTTTTTGTCAAGGTACTGTTTACAGTTTTTTATTTATTTAATGCTTTGTTCTCACAAACAGAGTAGAACTTTTGTGAAATCAGCGTAAAATGAAATGATACTATTATCTATCCTTGTGTTATTTAAAATATATATTAACTGGTCTCATGTACATACAGACTGTTATCTCAAATGTTACGTAAAAGACATGAAGTCAGTGCTGTTGGTAAAGTAAAACGATATAGACCCTGTTTGCTATTTTGTTGCTGTTGTTATAAAACTGTTGTTAACTTGACAGTTTATTGATAAATACTTTAGCTTATTTATGTCAGAACATGTCAGATCCTAAATTTGTCTTTGTAGAGAACCTTTCCTTGGAAAAATAGACTGAAAATAACATGATCGGTATGAAGATGAAAAGCAAATCTCGATATTTCATGTATATTTTCATTTTTTGTACATATTTCCAATTTTTGTACCGTATTATTTAGCCTTTATTTAAACTTTCCACATGTACTTTAGTGCAACGAGCACGCCACGCTATTTTAAACCTTCAATTTAGGTGCTTGGGCAGGAAACATTAAATGAAAATCAGAACTGAAGTCTCTTAGAAAAGTAAGTGAAAAATGTGGAGGAGAGATTAGTTGTAGTTTCCTATCAAACACTTCAGTATGATTGCTCAGAAAACGGTGACACATCGTTTAGCTGTTACTCTTTGCAGTACATGTGGTTTAAAAGCATAGTTTGATTAGCTTTCCAACTAGATGCTCACTCTGTTTCTGATTCCTAAAGAGTTTTTTTCCTTTCTTGATTTCAGCTTTGAAAAATGCAACCACTGAAAACGACCCGTCTGATATCCGTGTGAGTGGAAAGGGAAATAACACAAAAATCAGCAGTAAGTGGGATCTTCCCTTTCTGTTTTCCGCATAGTTCACTTTTGTACAAAAACACAGTTATACCAGAATTTTTTGTCCAGAATCAGGATAAGCACTCTACTCAGAGGCAGTATAAATGTTTCATCAGCACAGGAAGTGGGGGTGACCTGCTTGTAAAACCCATCTTGGTGAATTTTGCAGGTGCAAATCAAACAGTGAGCTGAGAACACACACTCCCACGCTAACTCGGCTTTGCCTTGCAAGCACAGTTTCTTGCTGTTTTGTGTCTGTGTGTGGCTTTTAGTTCAGCTGCATCCTGAAAAACACATTTTTGCCCCAAAAATACTTTAGTGCATACAATTTACATTCACAAGGATTCAAAACAAAAGTAGAAGCTGTAATGGTGCTAAAAAATACTGGAATGTCTGATGAAAAAATAGGGATTAAAAATTAATAAACATATAAACCATGTTAAAAGTAAAATGGTAAAATATATAAACAGGACTATTTTTAAGGGATTTTCGTATTGCTTGTACTGTAGACAGAACACATACACGCAGGAAATGTGTGGCCAGGGACTTTCAAGATGCACCAGGGTGCATCTTAAAAGAAGGGTCTCTGGTGGCCAGAAATACAGCGTGTTAGCATAGCTAAAGGTTGTGAGGTTAATCTCAGCACTTTGATAGTTGGTGTGCGGCGCCAACGTGTAAAGATTGCAAAGACGTATGCACAACCACAATCCTGCACAGAGATAAAAGGAGGAACACGCTTGAGTTCTTTTCTCAAGGGAAATGTGGCACTTAAATCTACAATTAAAAAAATTGACAGCTAAAGAAAAATAGCCCCAGTGGAAGCATTCTCTGTAAAGTCATAGTGTAAAACTGGCAAAGTCGATCAGATATTGTGAAGGTTGTTAAAAATGTTTGTCACAAAGGACACATTTAGATGAAGACCATACGAGATGTCACATTTCAAAAAGACAAAAAGTAAAAGCGAGATGTTAGTTTTAAAGAGGTGCAAGATTCAGTTTAGTGGCTTTTAATGTTGTCGAAATGATTGCGTTCATGTGTCAACCACACCAACGTGTCCCAGAAAAAACCTCAGTTCTTGCTCAAGTAACCACTCGATTAGTGAGTGGTTAGATGTGTCTGTTGTGATGTTATAAGTAACATGTTATATCATGGTCACTTTAGCTAGGACAAAGAGCACTAAAAACAGCAAAGCCAAAAAATGTGGAAAAATAACTAATATAGAGTTTTTGTTTTGATATTTTAGAAGGTCTTTTCCTTTGGTCTCATACTTTGCCATAAACTGAAGTAATGTTGTTTTATTTATTTATTTTTTAAACAGATTCTGTGGCAGGTTAAATGTACTGTAGACTAAATTGGACCTGTTGTCCCTCTTGCTATTTTCTGTTATATGTATGCTGTTAATGGTGGATAGTCATATTAAACAGGGTTTTGAATAATGAGGTCAGCAGGTTTACATGCGAGACAAGGCCAGGTCTTCTATGTGATGTCAGAGAGAACAAATAGTGTTAATATGATCACTTAGATACATCAGCCTCTCTCACTCCCTGTTCCAACATTTTATTACTAATGGTAGAGCCAATAAGAAGAAACTTGGCTTGAAGCTAAAACACCTTGTTTCAGATGTGGAGTAATCTGTGTGATCTTTGTCCCTTTTCATCTGTGTTAACTCAAATTAAATAATTGTCAGACACAGACAACCTGAAGAAAAAATGTGTTTTTTTGCAGTGTGCTATCATGGTTGTTTTAATGAAATTACAAAAAAATTGCTCTAATTCTTATTTCTGTGTGTCCTCAGATGACCCTTATGTCTACTCTCTTGGTAGAAAATGCAAGTGGACACTCAGGTTGCCTAGGAACAGGAGCAGTGACATAATGGCGCTCACAAATGACTCTGTGAATGGGTTGTCTGAACAGATCTGTCAGGATCTTAAATGCGGCAGCGTCCATTCTATTAATAAAACCAGCTCACCAGGCAACATCACCTGCTTTCAAAACTGTTCATACCAACACGGACGTTTGGAGAACTGTTCACTGAGTGTTGGAAGTTCCTGCAGTGTGATCCATGAAGTGGTTTGTGGTAAGACTTTTCTTTAATGTCAGCAATCAGAAAAATCTAATCAGTTATATAAATTTTAATATATATAGACGCTGTATTAGTTTACATGAAATTTCCGGTTCTGTCCTCATTGACTCAACCTTCACAGTTGTAAAGCATCAATCAGCGAATATTAAATTGTTCTGCATTCAAGATGGATGTAGCCAATCAGGATGCTAACATATTCACACAGATTTCACACACCATCTGGACTTTCGTTTCATCTGACAGCGAACGGAGTGTTCAGACTAAAACTTATGTAACTAAATATCAAGGAAACTAGATACAGTTGAGGTCAGATGTTTGTTACCATGGACACCTCAAATAGGTGCCTTTGTAGCCATTAGCAAGCCTCTGGTATAACTGTGGCTGGATATTTGACCACTCTTCTCGGCAGAAATGGTAGAGTTAATTTAAATTGGTTGGTTTTCTGGGCATACTTTCAAACATAGTCCATCATTTTTAAAAGGGTTGAGGTCAGGGCTTTTGCAAGGCTGCTGGAGAAGCCTCGTGTTAGCCTGCTTAATCTATTTAAAAACCAGTTGTGTGTTTAGGATTATCTACAAATTTAATCCTGAACCTGAACTAATTAGCCTCTGAGGGTAAGAGTTTGGTTCTTCTTCCAGATTGTGGCAAAACGGTGACATAAACAAATAACTTGGACAGACCTACAATTGTTTGAACTGATGATCTTGGAATCTGCAGTTTTTGTGTGGATTAAAGAAAATCCAAAATAAACTCAAACTTGTTTTTTAAAGTCATAAAGAACAGTTCAAAATAATCATTAAAAGACTCAAATTACCATAAAATTCATATTCATGATGGATGCATGTGAGAGTCTGACCACAACTGTGTATATTAGACTATCACAGTAACTATAAGAAGAAAACTGGATTTTTTTTTGGTTGATTTCACGTGGAGGCACATGTTTCTTTGGAGCATGAGGAGACAAACGGAGCTCTCCAGTCATTTTTTCTACTTTTCTTCTACTTACTGAAATATTATCTTGTTATGCCACTGAATAAATACTAACTAATACAAACACTGAGACACAGTTATTATTATTATTATTAGCAACAAATATTACTATGTAGACAATGCGGTCTACATAGCAAGAAGCTTGATAACTGGAATTGCATAGAAGTGTACTGTGTTACTGCAAGGCTGGATTTGCAGTAGGAGGATTAAAGATATTTTGCTGTTAAATATTTCAGACAAGCAGGACTTTTTGCATTTGTTGAGGAATTTGCTCTTGCTGCTGTGAGATATCAGTTTGGTTGTTTTTGAGATAACATCAAGAATTCTGAGCATCATGTCAGATATAAATCTGAGCGTTTAGAAAGAACTGAACTTCTTTGTCATAACTCTGACTTTGATGTTGAACACTACCGACGAACAAAACTGTCATTCTCGGAAAAATATTTACATTCATGATTTCTGGGGGCACCATGACCTGTCCCTGGGGCAGTAACCTGCCATTGTACCCTAACAGATCTGTGGGAGGAAACTAGAGCACCTGAAGAAAAACAAAGATTAGGCGAGGTTTGAAACCAGAAGGTTTTTTTCTCACACGCCAAATTTCCAAAACCGACATAGAACGAAACTCCTCGGAACGTATGAAATGCTTTTCATTTAACCTAAACACATAAACAGGAAAACCTCAAAATCTAAAAATGGAAGGAATATTTTATCAATTTTTTTATCAATATTTTTTTTTAAAAGAAAGGGAATTGTCATGTATTTTAATATAATACACACACACACACACACACACACACACACACACACACACACACACACACATTTTATGGACCATCAATTCAAAAACAGGCGATGAACAGTCTGAGATATCTTAAAAATAACTGAGGACTATTGTTGTGTTTATCTGAATTTGAGGAGTGTGACCGCATGTCATACATGCCCTTTCCTGTCTATAAATGACTTCCTGCCCTACGCGCTGGTTTATTCTCACCTCCTCTTGTCTGTACAGAAGTCGTGAAGCCATCACTAATTCTCACTGAAACCTTTCCCAATATGCAGCAGCAGGCCTAAGTTTTTATCTGCTCTGTCCGTCATCGTCTTTAAGCAAACACTGGTTAATCATGTTTGAGGTGTGGAAGCTGGTAGGGAAACATTATGTGTTAATATTACAGATCACAGTGGCTCTACCAAAGTACTAAACCTTTACATGTAGAGTTTTTGGAACTGAGCAACTACAATATTTTACTTTTATAATTTATAACATATAGCTGAGATCTAGAAATATATTTTAACTCTCAGTCTCCATCTAACTTGGAACAGCAGAGTGTTTTATTGAAAAACAAAAAAATAAAAAATGTTTTTAGCAAACATGAAGTGACCTGTTGCTTAGTGAAATCCTGCTATGAAGCCTCAAGTATCATGTTTTCAGACTGAATGTGATGAGCGACCTCACTGTGAAATCTCTACACCCTGGTTATTCCTCCCTTCTAATTATAAGTTAAAAAATGACTCCAACACAAAACAAGTCATTGAGCCTGTAAAGCAATCTGAAAAGGGTTAACTGAGGTCACAGAGGAAGGCAACCCAGGAGATTTGCCCCCTGCTGGATGTTAAAAATAATGCAGGTTTAACACACTTCCAGGATGTCTTTCAGTCCCTTAGACTGTCTATAACTGAATCAAAAGGACAGAAATTGATCCTTATCATACCCCTGTTACTGACCCACAGTCACTCAGTGGGTTTAACTAATTAACCTCATGTTAATTGGTTAAGTGATTGCCTGCTTGTTTATTATCCAAAATTTAAGAAGCAAAAATATGCAACCTTGTGTGTTTCCCTGACAGTGACTCTGAATTAGCCTCAGGCAAAAATAACTGAGCACTAACCTTTAGATGTAAGGATTTAAGAGACAAAAAAATCATAAAGAGCTGTGATTTTTAAGCAATGAGAATTCATAGTGGAAGAGATTTCTAAGTATTTGATTGGTGACTGTCAGATCTGACTGTAATAATTTCAGTTAACACTATCAGGTCATAAGATTTACATCTTGATCACCAGACTGTGCTGTTAGGTTAATTATTTGCACGAGTATTAATGATGAGTAATGCACAATAATAATGACAGGGTGTCATCCTCAGAACACCAGCTTGTGCGACTGGCAGGAGGGACAGACCGCTGTGGTGGACGAGTGGAAGTATGGAAAAATGGGCAGTGGGGCACCGTGTGTGACGACCACTGGGACCTGAATGATGCTCATGTGGTGTGCGCCCAGCTCGGCTGCGGTTACGCTCTCAATGTGACGGGCCAGGCCGGCTTATTTCCCCCGGGGAAAGGACCCATCTACCTGGACGATCTGAACTGTACGGGCAACGAGGAGAACCTGTGGAGCTGCCCGGCTACACAGGAGGAGGATCAAGACTGTGGACACAAAGAAGACGCTGGTGTCGTGTGTTCAGGTCTAGTTCAAAAAAGTTTATTTATACATGCAGAAATCAGAAAATGTAAATTTTAATGTTATTAACAAAACAACTCTGAATGTGAACATTTATTCTTGGGGCTTAACTTGCTTTCTGCACTGGTTAAAAAAACATCTTAAAGATTTTCGTTGTTTCTTCTAAAAGTTACATATAACTAAACTTCAAATTTATGTTTCCATGAAATGTGATCTTCACTACTAAAAAAATGATCAGCAAAAATACAGAAATATTGAATGAGTGATGTGTAGCAAACAAACATAACTCAGGAGAAACATCTCTGTTCATGCATTTTTGAGAATGAGGTTAATTATGTATGTCATATGTTAAAAAATAAATCAAAGTCATTATCCTTAGCGCTGGTTTATCACCAGCTGATTTACTTGCATTATTTTTGGGGGAATGTTTTATGCCATTTTGCTCCAGTAGTTTTACTCCTTGTGACATCTGTGTCTCTGCAGAGATGCGAGGCCTCAGACTGACTGGAGGTATGGACCGCTGCTCTGGTAAACTGGAGGTGCATCGTAACGGCAGCTGGTGGTTCGTGTGTAATAACTGCTGGAATGAGATGATGGCTTCCATTGTGTGCTCCATGCTGGGCTGTGGCGATAAGGTGGAAAAGTACACCCAGTTTAATCCTCCTCTCACCCACAACAACGGCACGCTGTTTTACTATGAATGCAAATCACAAGATCAGAGTCTGTGGGAGTGCAAGGAATACATAAATCATCGGTTCCTATGTAAAGACTCAAAAGCTTCTGGTGTCATTTGTGAAGGTAAGGGAAACAGTTTGGTGTTTTTATTTGTTATATACTTGTTAAACAAACAACACTCAAACAAAACAGGAGGAATCAATGAGTGCGAATTTTATTAATTTATTTATTCATTAGCAACTCTTTGAAAAGGACTTCTTTGCACATATTAAAGGGATCAGATATTCAGGATAAAAACAAACATCTGGATTAAATGTTTAATACATTTTAAGGTGGAATTTTGTTAAGACACTCAAATTTTTTAAAAATACATTTCCCCACCCCACCTGGTTGCAGCAGATGGCTGCCGCCTTTTGAGCCTGGTTCTGTCAGAAGTTTCCTTCCCACTGTCGGGAAAGAAACTTCAGGGGTGATTGTCAGAATTTTCTCTGTTGGGTCTTTATCAAACAATATAATGCGCTTTGACCTGACAGTTGCTATGATTTGGAGCTATATAAATAAAATTGAATTGAAATTTTATTGTAATTAACCAACGTATTTCTGTCTGTGACTTAAATAATTACATGTTTGAAGTGCTTTTATTCGTGTGCCTACACATTTATTTATTCATTTAACAGTTGTTGATTGCAGTGAGTCGTCCTCTGAGGAGTTTCTGTTCAATAGTTACGGAATCACATAAAATGTCGTCGTAGCATAAATAAAATTCACATCCAGGTGAAACCAGGTGACCAGATTTCTCCGTTTTGTTGAACAGATTATATTTTTGTTCTGCAGGTTCTCTGGGGTTTCCTAACGCTACCACGGTTAATCCAACTGTAACACCTCAATGGACAACTGGTAAATATTTACAGTTTTATTTTATGAAAAAGTACTTAAATTATTCTTTGAAGTATTATTCTCAGTACCAGTTTCTTAAACGTCGCGGTTAGTCTTGATCAATAATCAGAAAGTGAAGTATTTGTTTCTTCTCTGTGCATCCAGCCAATGGAACCACAGCCGCTGTTGCTGCTGCAGATTTGCCTTTTGCGTCTCTGCCGCTTCTCTCCACCATCTCTCTGTCCATCCTGCTCCTCGTGATTGTCATCACAAACACGGTGCTCTGCTGCCATTACAGGAGAAAACACGGTTTGTTCAGATTTTATTAGATAAATAGATTATATTTTATTGTCCTTTTTTTATTTTAAGTAATTTTAGTGATTATTTTAGGTTATATTGTCTGTAATGATGGAAATACTAACATTCAGTTTATTTTGACAGTTTTCATTAAAAATCTCTTCCATCAGTTTTTAAAAATATGCTTATTTTCCCAAACAAATCATATTACTTTATAGAAATGTTTTTATTTTCATAGGTAGATGTTTAACATTTTATATTTCACTTTATGAAATCAATAAGGGTGAAACATGCTGCACAGCTCCTATTTATTCTAACAGTGTAATGTTTTTTTTAGTTAGAATCTGTTTTAGTACAGACAGGAAACAGGTGGATATAAACAGATAAAAGATGACGCATTATACCGCCAAAAAATAACCTTAATTTAAAATTAAACCCCCATAATAAGATACGTTCAAAAAAACAACAACATCTAGAATATTTTCATGACACCCAGCTTGTCCACAACATTTAGGAAGTAATGGGAGAGGTCAAATTCCTAAAAGAGGTACAAATTAATTTAATGTACTAGATTGTGAAAGAGCTGCAGGCTTACCTTGACTTTGAAAGAAATTAATCTGAAGTTAGTAGGATGAAGAAAGCACACATTTAAAAATATGTTTTACCCAGCTTCTTCCTAACACGAGGAGATGACATTAGTAGAACACTAAGAAGGTAGCATATATTATTTTGGATTTCATTATCAACATTTCTAACCATTTTCTACTGCAAATCCAAGGCACTTTAAAGCTATACACTCACTGTAAATCGCTCAAAAAGTAAGGCCTTAAGATAAGAAACATTCATGGGCTTCCTAGAATCTGAAATTTTTATAATTTTAAGATGCTGCGTTATAAAAGTGCAGAATACAGAAATTAGTACTCTGACATTATACAGCAAAATGTTAAAGAAAATCTAAATATTTCAATACATTAAAGTTTGAACTATTTAATCTGTTTTATTAAGTTGCGTTGCGGGGCCTCTAAATGTCATACGCTAATGACCCAAGTCTTGTTTTACATGTGCACAGCTTTCTTACTCCAGCAGACGCGCAGCAGCCCACGAGCTCCATCTGGTCAAAGCAACAACTATCACGAGGCTGTTAATCTCATCAAAGTCACCGCCAACCCGGCGGAGACTGATGGTCAGTGGTCGAACAATTCAACATGTCGAACACTAACACAGCTTTTTTCTTTCTTTAACCCCGCAGGCATATCTATCTGTCGATTTATCTATTTAATAGACATGCACGGTAGTGAGGAAGTTGCAGATTTCATCTCATCAAATCGTTTAATCTTTTTTGTGTGTTTGTCTCAAAAAGTCCCCTCCAATCCCAGGCTTCTTTGGACCCAGCTTAGTAGTGCTGACAGCACGTCAGTAGATACAGACTATGAGCAGTATGACCCAAGCATTGACCCGTCTGTCAGTTTATCCACCTTTCGGAGTGAGCCACGTTCTTTTATTTTTCCTCTGCATTTATGTGTCGTTTCTCAGCCGTTGCTTCTTTGTCTCACACTGTTTCTGCATTTTGCGGTTGAAGCTGCTCTGTCTATCTGCATGTTTGTGTGTGTGTGTGTGTGAGCAGATCATGCTGTTTTGCACTGAATGTTTGCAGGATGCTCTGTAAAATATTGCATTGTGTGCATCGTGTCACTTTTTTAAAAAAATCCAGATTCTCAGCGATACAGAACAGACGTTAATCCTTTGATGAGGCCTTCAGGTCTTGAGAGCCTTTGTGAAGAAGGTGAGTCACAGTTCGTTTGCAAAGTTGTAACACTTTGCAAAACTCAAGCAAAATGCATCATTCCCATTAGAAACTACTGCTGTGACAACAATCTGTAAATGGAAGAGGAACACTGACTTTCACTTTTAACCAAAAACAAGACACAGAAAACATAAAGAACAAACAATAGGTACAAAATAATCATCATCATGATAAATCTTTATTTCAGACTCATGGTCTATAAAAAATCAAATCACATAAAACACAAGAAACAAAATAAAAAGATAAAATACACATTCCCACAAATCAGATTCCCACATGACAGTTATACAAGTGTCCTGAAAACTTAAAGGTCCACAACGATGCAATTATCCAAAGAAATCTATACACAAGATTTCTTTCTAAAAATTGACCTGTATTGACATTAGAGGCTACAAACATCACATTTACCCTGAGACAACCTGGTTTCTTCAGTGATAACCTTGTAGGGTCATTAAAAGTTACGTGAAGTTTCTGCTTTTCTGTAGTTCATCCAGTGTGCCGTATACAGCGGATGAACAGTGTACCCTAAAATGCAAACTGTACAGTCATGCGTAACAGGATGTTTGCTTGTGCATAGATCAGCGTGCATTATCTATAAATATCATCACCATCATTTGTTCTGTCATAAGTTGCGCAAGATATTTGACCCAATTACAGAGGAGGTTATTATTTCACAGTTTAAAGCGAGCAAATCATAACAGCACGAGGTCATCCACATATAACTCTGTTAGGACTAAATTAAATATCTTGTTTCTAAATGGATGTAAATGCAGGACATCTTTTTTTATGTGTTCCTTAGAAAAAACCCCAATAAGAAATCACACGTACAGACAATTCTTGTTTGTGTCCCAGCTGTGCTACAAAATTTCTCCATTTTGTGTTTTATTTTTTAAGGTCCGCAGCCCTCAAATACAATGACAGGAGCCTTTCCAAGCTGTAACGGTGCCTCGACATATCCTCAGTACGCCAGAGTGTCAAAGATCTCAGTGGACTCCTTTGAGTCGTCCAGCACCTCCTCCGGGGAATGCTATGAAAACTTGCCCAAAGATTACGTCAACGTGACGCCTGGTGAGTTCGCTTCACTCCCCTCAGTCCTTTTTTCTACCAAATAAATATTGTGGAATATGCTTATTTGTTTCCTTGTTGGGTGCTGGATGAGGATGAACGTGGTCATGCCTGTAGGTCAGCTTATTTTCTCAACTTTTCTCCTTCCCTCTTCCAGATAGACTCCATGTTTTTTTTTAATTCAGTTTTTGAGATACTTAGGGAAAGTGTTGTAGTTTACATGTTATAAAAATAAAAAAAAGTCCTGGGATTATTCTAGCTTTAAAAAAAATAAAACAAATATTGTTGTGTGATATAAAATTCAAGAAAGAAGAAGAAAGGCTGATAGTCACGTTTCAGTTTGTCGAGGGTAAATAAATAAAAGATGTAAGTCCATCTCAGACTGTCTGAAATACTTTTTTATTCAATTAAAACTGAAAAGCTTTTGCCGTTTCAGATCCTCTACCATTGGAGTCGTTTGTTGGTCCTTCTGATGCTTCAAAATTCTCATATGGTCCTCTTCACTCTGGACAAACCTCAAACATGCAGAATTCAGGTAAATCTCAATAAACAGACGTGCAGCTGTGGAGGAATAAAATGTAAAACATTTACTAATCTCTCTGAATGTTTGATGATCAGATGACGACGAACTCTACTCGCCTGTGAGCCCCGACTGAAACTCTGTGTCTGAGGATGACTGCACAGCAAACTGAGGGTGTGGGAAAGTGTGAGAAGAAGAAGTCGTTTTCGTAAAGGAAAGACATCCTGTAAGATCAAGAAAATGTAAGACGCTTACAGCGATCAATGCTGGGATGTTCAATGTGATTGATTAGCTTTTTAAAGCGAGTTTTATTTTTGTACACAAATGCAAAGCAAAGGCTGGAAGTCTGGAAGGCACAAAATGAACATGTGTTCTGTGAATGTAGCAGAAGGAACTGTAATATAGAAACAGATGACGCGGCACACTTATCCTACAGTTAACCATATCCATACCAGTTGTAATGGTCTCTCCCTGTGACCTATGAGCATGATCTCATCCCTGTTGAACTCCTATGGCAGATTATGGTTTGACATGTTAGACATTGCCTTTAAAATAATTAAAAAGCCATATTAGATTTAAAAAAATAAAATAAAATAAAGCCCTCCTACAGCAGCACAACACCACACTGAGACACTTTACTCTGGGTTTTCTTTGAAATTGTCACCTGTCTGTGTCTGTTTTGTGTTGTTTATTAAAAGATTTGTAATATTACAATGTATTAAGTTAATACATGTTTGGCACATTTATTTCTTTGGATGTAGACACGAAAATCTTCTGAGCACCAGCATAATTTCAACAACTGTTATGAGCACAACATAGCCAAAAATATGTGGACATCCAAACATTACCCAAATAATTTTCTTGTAAAAAAACCACAAACCTTAATGTCTGTGAAGGTTCTCAGTCATCCAGTTCATCGTAGTCTAAGGAGCTTGGAAAGAAAAGCGTCTGGACTTGAAGAAGCTTCTCGGATGAGAGGTGAAACGTCTTCAAGCAACTTAAAGAAGTCCAGACGCTTTTCTTTCCAAGCTCCTTAGACCACAGACCTTAATGTGGACCTATCATGGGTTTCCTTATTTTGTGCTATATACACTGATACAAGGTGGAGGAGGATATTAAATATAGTTAAATACTCTATGCACAAGTGAGCCTTTAGAACAAAATGCTTATTTTCAGTTTTTCCTCTTCTTGGATCTGCACAATGTCAGTGACAATGGATATTACTGATATGGTCAATTCAGGCGAACAGGTCCAGCAGTTTGACGCTTCTGTTTGCTGGAGGCAGCCAATCAGAAGAAGTATGGCAGCTTGTTTCAACCAAAGCAATCTCAGTAGGTTAGCCACTAAAGCTGGGCCATAAAGCAAGGAAATAATATTTATGTGGCACTAATTCTGTTTATCCCGGTGTGTGAGGGTTAGGGGTTACAGCTAGATAAGCTATTCCACATCTAACTGAAAACATGAATCACTCTGAAACAGGAAAAAGCTTAACTGAACTCCCACAAAGCTGCAGTACAATTTCTTACATTAAAGGGTCACAAGCTTTTGTCTGTCCACATACTTTTGGCTACTCACGTGCTATTGTTTGCCACTCATCTTCTATGTAAACAGTGTATTCAATATTAAGATCAACCACAAGGTGGCACTACAGGCTTGTAAGTAACTTGTTTAATTAATGTCTTGTCCTGTAAATTACTTAAAAAACGTATTAAAGTATAAAATGTTTTCTAAATCAAAAACGTCCAGGCTGCTGCTCTTTGTGACAAAAACCTGACAAACATCTATTGGTGCTCTTTGAGGGAGATAGGGGGAACTCTGGCTCCTGATGGGGCCAACGTAAACTATCAGCGTGATTTGAAACCAGACCTGGAAGGCTTGTTTTTTGGGGGTTGTGGTTGATTATAACTGCTGCAGCTGCAGAGCATCAACGCTTCCTGTGATGCCCTGAATCAAAGTTATGTCTTGTTTTGAAGAACGTTAATATGACAAACTGCCTCACAGCACAGTAAAGTTTTAATAGGGGGGTGACGGTGTTGAATACAGGGATAAACATGGATCGGCTAACGTGAGAAGTGGGAGGTGTGATGCATTCGACTGATAACAGCAGAAATGGGGTGTTTTTCAACTGGAAGGTATTTGGCAAATAGGAGGAGGGCGAGCTTGTGTGTGTGTGCCTGTGTGTATTAGGGTGTGGGGAGGAGGGATGATGAGGAGAAAAGGAGGAGGTGGACGGAGAAGTCGGCAAAGATAAAAAGTGTCTGGAAGAATCATATATTGCACTCAAATTTAGTCCAGAGCCTCGCGTGGAGATAAGCAGGCGAATTAACGACCAGATCTCCTTATGAAACTCAATCTGTTTCACATGCCAGAGAATTGAGCGCACACACCAACCCACACACCACTCAACACGGATTCCATGTAAAACTATGCAGCCTGATATATCACAGATCCTCCTTAAGCGCTTTGCTTTTGTTTTATTCAGCTCTGAAAGATTGATAAGCCAGAATCTGAAAATCTGAGGATTTACAGTCCTGATTAACATCAAGGGAAAGAAAAGTAGTTCACTAGTATTTCAAGTAGCTTGTAGCATTTGCAGGGATTAGAAGATCAACCCTCTGTTTTTACTTTGTTCATTAAATCAGTTACACACAAAGGATTACGGCTCCATACGTCTCTAAGTTGCTTAAAGTGTCCCGACTGCAGATCCTGCCCGAGTTTAAACTTTTGAACTCTGGTTGGTGCTGCAGGCCTGCAGACGACCTGAGACAGTACCTGGCTGCAAACGATATCGAGAGCATGCATGAAATTACCGCTGCAGCTTGTGTTTGAGGTGGTTTTGAATGTTTGTTGTCCTCCAGTAAAATTTTATACGAAGATTAGAAGAATAAAAAAAAGCCTGGCTCAGGAGATTTTAGGGGCTTTTAAATGGGGGAAATGACACTTAAAGCTATTAGCAATCCTATTAATATTTAAAGTAGTTTTTCAGATTAGCCGTGGCTTTCAGTCATAGAGTGCTAAAGGAGTGAATCCTAAGACCCAGAAATTAGCATTTTGTACTTCCAGTTTCAGTTAGTTTAGTGTTTTAAATGGGTTTTTGATTAGATGCTTCAAATAAGTACTGTACTTAAAAATAGCTTTAGTCATACATTCTGTAACATAAAATATGTAAGTAAATACCTCACACACAAATTATGAAGCTGTGGCTAAATGTAACTTTCAGTATCATCACAGCGAACTCAGAAGCCTGTTAGTGAAGCTGCTAAAGTCTCGCAGTGATGTCCTTCGTTTACAGGACAGCCAGGGTTCTCAAAGTGGGGCCTGCGGGCCAGCGGTAGCCCCTGGTAACATTTTACCTCCCTTCAGTGTGTTGAGGTATGTTATGTTCAGGCACAGCAGTGGAGAACGAGACTACGAGACTAAACTTTCCCAGTTTGAACAAAAACAGCTGTTTTTCTTCACTACCACTTTAAAGACTATAAACCACAAAAATGATAACGACAAACCACCAACATCAAGTAAAGAGACTATTTGCACCAGCCAGATGTTTTTCTACATGATGGATTTTTCTCCTTTGAGGCCCCTCAAAGTCATGTTGACCCCTTAAATTGGCACTCAAGTCATTAACACTTTGAACCCAGGGGAGCTCTGTCTCCATGTGTCAGCTCAGTGATAGGAGGTCATCTGAAAGGATGAAACATGATTTTCAGAAGCAGTATGAGGAAACTACATGTGGTTTACTACATATTATTATTAGTATTTTTTTTTAATCGCTTATTTTGAATTTGATGGTACCGACACTTCTCGAAGCTGGAAAAGTTAGTGACACTAAAAACAAACAGCTGGAGAGACAATTTTCAGCTGGGTTAATCAGCAGGAGGTCAGTAACAGGAGTGGGTAACCATGTCAACAATTCTAGAATAATGTTCCTCAACAAACAAATTCTGAAGTCTTTGAATTCCTCGTCATTTACAGTGTATAATGTCAAAAGATTCAGGGAGTCTGGAGAAATTTTCAGGTAGAAGGTTGAATGTCTGTGTACGAGCTGTCAAATGGCACTGCATTAAAAACCAGTGACGATTCTGTCATGGAAATCACAACATGGGCTCAGGAGCACTTGAAGAAATCATTGTCTGTTTGACAGCGTGGGGCGTGTAAGGAATAAGCTAGCTGCCCAAACACTCAAGAAAGCAGTACGACCTTACCCCGCCGCTCAACCAAACCTTAGATTTTGAATAATTTCATATCAAATGTGCAGTACCTCTAACTCTATAGAGCTCATCTTCTCTTAACTTCATATGTTATATTTAACGGTGGTGAGTCTTATGAGCTTTAATTTTAGCAGACAGCTGTTTTCAGGAAAAACTTGTGAAACTAATTTAATGAAAAGCTGATGAATAAAGTGGAGCATCCAGCTGACGGGTTCTCAAGGTTGGCCTGTGGACCAGTGGTGGCCCCTTTTGTTTTTGCCTGCAAGCATTACAAATAAACAGCAAGTTTTCATGTCATAGCATGTATATATAACAGTAGAGTTTACCTCTTAAATCTCAGCTGTTCTGCTTTAGCCGTCACAGCTTTCTCAAACTTCATAACACTAACTCAACACCCTAAAAAAGTCAAGAAATATGACCTCAACACTGGGTGAAAACAATAGATACCAGTACAAAAATGACAATTTCCAGCCACAGACACAATATAAACAGTGAGACGGAGCAGCTTGTATTTTTGTTTTCTCCCTGGACTTTAAAAGCAACGCATTCACGAATAACTGAAGGGTCACTACATTTTCAATCCCTGGAACATTCCTCGGCACCGTTTCATGTTCCACTGGAACAATAATAAAAACACGAACTCTAACATGTCAGGCAGTGTCTTACTTCACTGTGACCTTGTGGATTTTGTTCTTGCCTTGGCCTTTGTGTTGGCACTGCTCTTTGTTTGCCAGGGATATGTTGCAGGATGGACTGCAGCCAGTGAAATGCAGTGAGGTCATTCGTTTAGATAGAGCCCCAGATGGTTAGAGACCTGGGCTAAAAATCCACTTCAGCTCATTAATCAAAGCCTGTTTTTCCTTTGGCCGAGCAATGGGAGAGATTTATACTTAAGCCATTAAATTCACCAATATTCCCCTCTCTTGATTAGTGCCCCTCACAGCGAATGAAGCCTTTAGTAAACGGCATTACAGCCTGCTGGGCTGAAGCTTGGGTGCGCTGGAGAGGCCGGGTAATAGTGTTGATTACTCGTCACTCATTAGGTTGCTTTCACTGCCGCCGCTAAGCCCTCATCAGGAGGTTTTTGGCTGAGAAGCTGAGCAGGAGCCCTGATCCAATTCACCTTTAAAGTTCAGTGGAGCTGTCTGGGTTGCCACGGGTCAGTGCATCACTCTCCATGGTGTGCACTCTCAGAGAGAGGCCCTCATTACCTCATTTCCTGTTACCACTGTACCAGGCAAACATCTGAGTGTCCTGCTTCGGTTGTGTAAAGTTTGTTTGTGACTGAGGGTCTATTAAAAGTTTAAATAAAAAAACTTGTTGAATTTATGACTTTGTTGAAGGACAAATGTGAGAATCAGACTGCGTGTGTCTGTGGTGGCCCTGTGGTGCAAGAGAGTGCATTTCAAACTGAAAAAAAAACTTCATAACTGGGGTTTATTAAAAATATTTTATGTATTTTTGTTGATGACTGGCAAACAATGGCACACGAGTAACCAGATGTTTGTCATAATTATATTTCACATGCAAGAGAACTCAGAAATCCTTCACACATACAAAGTCATGAAGTTTTCAGGGCCCATCATAACTTAAAGACCTCACAGTACCATATTACCTTTACAGAGCTCTTTGCTCTCACATTGCAGGCATACTTATGGTTCCTAAATTTTCTAAAAGTAAAATGGGAAGAACCTTAGGCTATTGTGCGCCTCTCCTGTGGAA